CCTCCCCCAGCACAGCCAAGTGCAGACCATCTCAGACACCTGCACTCAGGCCCGTGGTCCTGATCATCCTCTATTCGGACCTGCTGGGTAAAGCCACGAGGAACCCCAGAACGGGCTCCCACACTAGCTACTTCAGGTTCCTGCTGCCATGACCTTCTTAGACATTGGACCTGGGATTGTGATCCAAATAAACCCTTTATCTTCTAAGTTGCTGTGGTTATGGTTTTTATTACAGCATCAGGAAACCAAACTAAGGTGACTTGGTATTCTTTTTCCTCTTATTTTTTCAGTTAGTAAGCCCTCCTGAAAATTTTTAATTGAGCATTGGCAAAACTGAGTATTCTGGGGCCTGGAGCAGTGGCTCAGCAGCTGAGAACTGGCTCCTCTTCCGGAGGACCCGGGTTCAATTCCCAGCACCCACGTGACAGCTCACAGCCACCTGTAACTCCAGAACTGCTTTCTGGCCTGCATGTAGACACGGACATATTGCAGGCAAAACCATCATACACATACAAATACATGAGTAAAAAAATCTCATCTAAGTATTTTGGTTTGTTCATTTACAATTTAGGTATGTAGAGGCAGCTAGGAAAAAATATTAGGAACAATTAAACATGTTTATTTCTAGAATTTTTCCTTACGGATCTTTTCATTTCTTACTTGCAGAGAAACCGAGTGATAAAATTTCCCCTTTTGAGACATCTAACTTTGCTTTTATTTTATTTTTTTTAAACCTAGTAGTTTTCTGGATAGTTGAAACTTGTAGTGAAGTCATGTGTTACTGTAGACATGTTGGAGGCTAGTCTTTATTTAAATGAGTAAGTTGAAAACAGTTTAAAGTGTTGTACTTACAGAAATGTAAGAGACTTGATGTGTGTGTTTTTGTCTTTCATGCCTTCAGGCTAGCAACATGGTGAGTGTCAAAATACACAACTTACTCTTCTGAAAACACTCAATTTTGACATATATTAAATTTTCTAAAGATTCTAGATTTTAATATATCTTCCCTTTTCTCACACAGATTTTGTTAATTTTTCTACAAAAAATGGATTTGCTCCTAACAAAAACCCCTCCCGATGAGATAAAGAACAGTGTCCTGCCCATGGTCTACAGAGCCCTGGAGGCTCCTTCCATTCAGATCCAGGTACAGTACCTGGTTTGTCTTTCCTTCATGATGGTCTCAAGGTAGGAGAAAGAGATAGTAAGGCATATCACAGAATTCAATCTTCATGTTGTGTGTGTGCTCAGTAGTGAATGTGTTCATTGGACTGCCCTGCTGATGCACTGTTACTCCTGTAGACTGACTTCTAACTAAAGAGTAGGCGGGGCTGCAGAGATGCTAGCAGTAGGTGCTGGTGTTTGGAGATGTCTTATTGTGTAGCTCAGGCTGGGCTCGTTCACAGAGCTCCCTCCAGCTGCTCCCTTCTCCTAAATGCTAGGATTAAAGATGTGTGCCACCCCACTCACCTTACAGAGAACATGAGTTCGGTTCCCAGCACCCATGTCAGGCTGCTCACAACTGCCTGTAACTCCAGCTCCAGTACTTTGTTCTGGACTCCCTGGCACCTGCATTCACAAAGGCATGAACCCACATTCCGGCACACATGCACGTGATTAAAAAAGAAAAAAAAAGTTGGAGTTCAGTGTAGCAGCGTATACTTGTAATCCCAGCACTTGAGATGTAGAGGCAAAAAGACCAGGAATTCAAGGCTAGCTTAGGCTACATGATATCTTGTCTCAAAAACACTGTGGCTGGGATTGTAGGTTTGTACTGCCTTGCATACCATGTACTTCAGTCACGTTTTTGATGCATTTCTCTCTTTCTCCAAGTTTACTCAAGAGTGTGAGGTTGAATTTTTCCCCTCGTAATTAAACATAGGACACGTGGAAGCTGTACTTGCCTTACTTTTCAGCTTTCTGGAGTTACAGCCCTGTACAAGTGGGGGTGCTAGCCTGTAATCTGGCCTGTAATCCCAGTACTTAGGCAAAAGCAGGAGGGTGGCAAACTGAGGCCAGCCTGGGCTACATAAAGACCGTGTCTCAAGGGAAAACAAAACCGTGCAGAGCTAGTTGTAGCACGCCATTGTATGTAGCACGCCGTTTTTCAAGTGATTATAACTATTATTTTCTTTTTTAAAAAAACTGCTGTAAGAACCAAATAATGTAAAGCATATGGGAGTTTATTTTATACTATGACAAGTTAGCCCAGTATGTGAGAGGAGGTCAAGTACCTTTCCTTGAGACTGATCTGATTTATTTTTTCAATAGGAGCTCTGTCTAAACATCATCCCAACTTTTGCAAATCTTATAGACTACCCATCCATGAAAAATGCTTTGATTCCAAGAATTAAAAATGCCTGTTTACAAACATCTTCCCTTGCTGTAAGTAGATATTAAAATTTTTTCATGTAACTTATTTTTACACGTATTTGCTGTGTGTTGTGTGTGAGATCATGTGTGCATGCATGTGTTTGAGTGTTGTAGTGAGCATGTGGAAGTCAGGACAGTTTGTGGGAGTTGGTCCTCCTTCCACCGTGAGGTTCCAGGGATCAAACTCACATGGTCAGTTTGGCAGTTCCTTTGCCTGCTGAACCCTTTTTTCAGCCCTTCATGAAATTTCTGTTTCCCAGAACTTAATGAATTTGCCTTTTATAAAGCTTGATCATTTTACCCATCCATCTTTATCTTGTGGTGTGTGAATTAGAATACACATTAGTAGCTTAATAGACTCACAGGTAAAGGCAATGTGACACAATTTGACCAGACATCTACTCCATTTCAGTTGATGTTCCTTGGTAGAAAAGCTCTGATAGGGAGGATATAAATACTGAAGTAGTAGAAGGAAGCCATTACTGAAATGCAAGCATGGAGTGAAATGGGTTTTGTTCCGCTTTTGTTACTGACTGCCAGTGGGCTTGAGCATGTCCTAATACTTCTAGGAAGCCCTGATTTTATGATTGACTTTTCAAAATAGATGGTTAAAATCTCAGTTTTTAAAATGCCATTTCAGAAACCTTATGGTTTATTTATACCATTATAAATTTCTCTTAATACAAGTCTTCTCAAAGTATTCTACTTCAGTTCTGTATAAATGTGAAGGGGTGTGTAAGAGTAGCGTGCAAGACACTAGTGATCTACACTAGTGTCCATTGGTGTCCGCGTCTTCTAAAAATGCCAACTGGCCCTGGTCCTTCAAGACGGGTGCTAGGGCTGGAGAGATGCCTCAGAGGTTAAGAGCATTGACTGTGCTTCTAGAGGTCCTGAGTTCAATTCCCAGCAACCACATGGTGGCTCACAGCCCTCTATAAAGAGAGCTGATGCCCTCTTTTCTGGCCTGCAAGGACACATGCAGACAGAACATTGTATTACATAATAAATAAATAAATCCAAAAAAAAAAAAAAAAGACAGGGTGCTGATGAGGATGTACAGGGAATACATTTTAGAGCAGTAATTCTGGAATGGATTTGCATTTTATATGTTACTTTTAAAAACACATTTTACATGGAACTTCCAATGCTCCCAGCTTACCTTTGTGTGGCAGATCGGAATTTCTGTAGTATATTTATAGACTTATTCTCTAAGGGTCTGGCAATTTTAACTAGGAAATACCTAAATCATAAATCATTGATTAAAATTGCCTGAAAATGAAGAAAAATAGCACATAGCTAGGTACAGTGTTTTGGGAGGTATATTTGTGATTTATCTAATGTTTTGTGTATCGTAAAGGAAAATAAAATTAAAGCAGCATTTTTGATTTATGTCCAATAGATGCATTAATTCTTTACTATAATAAACTGACTCTGAGAACAGGTTAAACCTTCAGATAGTATTTTGAATTCATAGTATTTTGCTTAAATTTCAGAAAATAGTTGAACAAATGGATAAATTTTCATTTTCCTGTACAACTGTTAATCAGTAGAATTATTTTCTGCTTAGATTTTTTTTTAGACTGGAGTTTTATTGATATGGTTTAATTAATACTATGGACATGACTTAAAGGTGCTCTTGCTTGGGGGTTTTGGGGAGGGACTTGGTGATCAAAATTTAATCTGTGGTCTTGCACATACTAGAAAATTGTTCCCAATGAACTGTATTCCTAGCCGCCCCCCCCCCTTTCATGTGCAGTTTTTGTTTTTAAAGTGACCCAGGCTGAATCTAACCTTAAACTTCCTACATTGGCTGACCTTTGAATTCTGATTTGCTTTTACCTCCCGGGTGTTGGGGTTATAGGTGTGCATCACTGTGCCAAGCCCCAGCCCACTTCTTTACCTTAGGATGTGGTCTTTCTGAGCTTGCTCTGTAGCCCAGGTTGGCCTTGAGCTTGAGCTCTTCTTGCTCCCATCCTGAATAGCTGGGATTACAGTTTTGTGACAACAGAGCTGATCTATGTATCCTATGGTAACAAATGCTAGTTAAAGGTCCAGGAAGATGACTTGGCAGGTGCTCCCATGCCTGACCACCTGAATTTGATCCCACAATCTACTTGCTGGGGGAAGACTCGGGCCAGTCATCTCTGACTTGATATGCACACTGTGGTATGCGCACAACCACCCACATAAATCATTCCATAAATGCAACCGGTTCCAACTAAATCTAGGGTCTGATGTGTATCAAAAGTTGAATGAATATAAAAATTTTACAGGAGCTCACAAATGTTGAATTTTAGTAAGTATATTAAAGATGTATTTAGAAGTATAAAGTTTTATGTAAGACAGACATGGATAATTTTGTAGGAGACTGGAAGCATTGAAGGTGGAATGGCCATAGATTAATAAGGAAAATTTCAGTTAAAATATGTAGTCCTAAGAATGAGTTGATCCTCCCTTTTAGTAACTGAGTCACTGTGAAATTGGCTATTGATGGAATATATTCTCTTTTATAGTTAAAATTTGCTATAAACACATATAAAAGCCTTTAAAGTCCTGGAGGACTGGGATTGTCGCCATTGACAGCTTGGGTGATAGGTATAAGGGTCTCGTTCCCTGGCACCATAGGAAGTAATGAGTGAGCCGTGAGTGACAACCGTGAGTGACTGTTCCTGGCTGAAGCTGGTCCTTGTTCATCTACGAGGATCTCAGTTGAAGTAGTCTGCAGTGCTTTCTGTAACGTGGGAAATCAGTGAATGAGTGCATTGCTTTGTTTAGTTATTTTTTTGTTTGTTGTATTTTGGTTTTCAAGGCAGGGTTTTTCTGTGTAGCCCTGGCTGTTCTGGAACTCACTCTATAGACCAGGCTGGCCTTGAACTTAAGATTTGCCGCCTTCTGCCTCCCAAGTGCTGTGATTAAAGGGGTGTGTCACCACTGTCCATCAAATTTCTTATGTTAATAAAGCCATGCTTATAAAATCTACTTTATATTGAGATTTTTAGCATATGTCTATTTGAAGACTAAATTTATACTAAAGTATTTCATTTTACACATAGAAACTTTACCTGACAAACTTACATTCCATTTCTCTCTTAATAGGTCCGTGTGAATTCATTAGTGTGTTTAGGAAAGATATTGGAGTACTTGGATAAATGGTTTGTCCTTGACGATATCCTACCCTTCCTACAACAGATTCCCTCCAAGGAGCCTGCAGTCCTCATGGGAATTTTAGGTAGCTGAGAACTTCATGTCATTTGTTATCATTCTATCTTATATAATAGTTTCGTAATAAAATGTTCATTGTGTAAAATGGTTGCACATTATTTTTAGGTATATGACATGATGGAGTTGTAAAATGATTAGATAAATGCCACAATATAACTTGTCTCTGTTTTAACAGCAAAAGAAGTAGACTCTTGACATTCATAGACTAGAATGCTGGGGCTCTAGCACTTGGCAAATCAGGGCAAGTCCTGGATTTGAGTCCTAGGTTTCGGGAGTGGGGAGAAGATAATTTTGGTTGATGTGATAGTGTGTAATTTCCTTCCATAAAGTAGTATAAAGTACAAGAGGCCAAGCTGCTACACTGAGTTGTACTAGCAGAAGAAATGAAAGTGTAGACTGTTCTTCATTGTATTTATATCGAAACACCTTGACATAGAGGGCTGAAATAGATGCTTTTGGGGTAAGGCATTATTCTGTAACCTGACTGCTGGATTATCATAACCAAGCCTTTAGTTTTGTGTTGTCATTCATTCTGTGTGTCCTTTTGTATTTTCGAGACAGGGTTTCTCTGTGTAGTTTTGGTGGCTGTCCTGGAACTCACTCTGTAGCCCAGGCTGGCCTCAAACTCTCAGATACCTACTGTCTCTGCCTCCCGAGTGTTGGAATTAAAGGCGTGCACCACCACCACCTGACCATTCTGTGTTCCTATACCAAAAGAGCACAGGAAAAATATGCCCTGGTGTTTTATACATCTGGGCTGATAGTGCAGCTGAGTCACTGTGGTCCACATGGAAGAGCATCCTCATTGTAAGAGGAGGAGGTCTGTGCCACACCTGTTACCAACGGCTTTCTATAGATACCGTATGGTCATGGTTTCTGTGAACTTTGGGTGCCAGTTTCTAAAGTTTATTACACTGTTTTCTCTCAGGTATTTATAAATGTACTTTTACTCATAAGAAATTGGGGATCACCAAAGAGCAGCTGGCTGGAAAAGTACTGCCTCATCTCATTCCCCTGAGTATTGAAAACAACCTTAATCTCAATCAGGTGGGAATATTTTGTGTGTATTCAATTTCTTTTTGCTACTTGAATTATGTGGTTTTATTATATTACAAATACAGGTGACCAAAGTAAGTAGAGCATGCCACAGAGTTAATAAAGGTTATAGAGTGGAAGGCTAGACACACAGGCCTCATTGGGGGGGCAATGAGCAGGGTGCTGAAAGATGTGGAGTTTGCCTCTACTTTAGGTTTGGGGCTGTGTGTTGATATGAACAGTCACAGACTGTGTTAGGATATTATTGCTGCGTAAAAAAAATCACCATAAACGTTTTAGTATTTTTAAGCAATGCATACTTACTAATCTTATATTTTCTGTGGGTCAGCCATGCCAGGGCTTGGCATAGTTGAATTTGTTACTCAAGACTTTCTTATCCTGTTGTGATGGAGAACTTGGTCTCATCTGAAGGATCCTTCTGGGGACTCATCTGCTGCTTGGTTTTCTTAAATGGTTGTTGCAGGACTTGGCTCCTTCTGGGCTGTTGGGCTGAGGGTCTTGGTTTTAGCTGTATGTTAGCCAGATGCTGCTATCAATTCTGTATGCATAGCTCTCTCCCAAATAGCAGCCTTTTCTAGCCAGGCTGAAGTCACAGTGTCAAGAGCCTGTCTGCTACAGAGAAGGAATAATTCAGTGATGGGACTGATGAGCTGCAATAAAGTAACATGATATTGGATGGACTTGAATATCTATCTGCTTTAGGGATTGAACTGTGAAGATGTGGTAAATGTTTCAGCAAAGGGGAAGAAAAATTATTACAGAATTGTTTCTGCATGCCCCTTTTGCTGTAGCTTTCACAGCTGTGTGTGCACTGAGATTTTGGCGAATATAGTCTCCTGGAAGCTGGGTGTTCTGCTTATTCTTCATTATAGCCCAGTCATAATGCAGTGCCGGAAAGAGACAGTGAATCAACAGAAAACAGAAGAAATCTGGTGTCTAATGAAACATGAAGGGCTGAGCAAAGTCATTATTTGAGGATCACTGGTAGATAGGCAGGGAAGACTTAGAGTTAGGATGGAAAAGTGAATAAGAGCAATGGAGAATGAAGAGCTGGGGGAGAGGAAGGTTTGGGCAATGGAGGAGAGTTCTGAACAGGCAGAGTTGTGAAGGAGAAGAAATGTACAGTTAATTAGACTGAACATTGCATCTCAAGTAGTAAGGTAAGCCTTTGACCTTTGCTCTTAGATTTAATGCTTCCTGTTTATCCTGTGTATCAGGTTAGGCTTGGCAAATGGGAAACACTGAATATGAAGAATAGGATAATAAGCCCAGAACAGATCCCGAGTCTGTCATTTTCTCTGTCTGATTGAGGATGTTTTAAAGCATTTCCAAGGGCTCGAGAAGAGAGCACTTGTTGCTCTGGTAGAGAACCTGACGTTGGTTCTTTGTACCCACATGGTGGTTCATAACCATTGGACCCAGGGGATCTGACACCTTCTTTTGACCTCTGTGGACACCAGGCATGCACATGGTGCCCATATATATGTGCGGGCAAAACATTCATATACATAAAATAAAATAGAATAAAATTTAAAATCCCAGAACTTAAATGCTTTATCAGCCATAATGTCACTTCTGTACAAAGACGGAAAGCTTGCATTTGTGTTCTGAGTTTAAATGGACTGCCTTTGTGTCTTTGGTGCTCTGAGTGAGTCCTGTTCCACTGGGGAGTGGATTAACTATTAGGATTAACTTACTGACTTGTCTTAACTAATTACATCCTCACCATATCCGTCTCTTACTCTGCCAGTTCAGCTCTTTCATTGCCGTCATAAAGGAGATGCTGAGCAGACTGGAGTCTGAACACAGGACTAAGCTGGAGCAGCTTCACATGATGCAGGAGCAGCAGAGGTGAGCAGTGAGATCCAGGACAGCTTGTGATTGGTTTTCCAGAATATTGAGTAGGGAGATTGATGGATTTTCATTTGACTATACATGAAACATTTAAAAACTTTCCAACAGATTAATAATTTCAAATCATTACAATAGGACATTGTTGAAAGTGTGGATATGGAATGTGATATGATCTTAGCACTTTTTCTACATAAGGAAAACTTTGTTTCTGAGAAAATATGCTGTCAGCATCAAGGACATAGAACGAGAAGAAGGGCATAGGTATTTTTGGGATCTGTGAACCCCTAATATTATGATTGTTTCATCTCTTCTCTAGCCCCAGAAATGTGTAAGCATGTAGTAGTTCAGCATTGGCCCCTTTACTTTTAGAGGATTTTTAAGAATTATACAGAAAACACTGGTATTCAACAAAGATGGAGGTTGTTCATCGGAACTATTTTATTCAGGTCAAAAAGTTTACTGTTTGCTCCAGTGTAAAACGTGAGTTTAGCATACCCCAAGAAGTATCTCAGAATCAGCAAAGTGTACGAACCATGAGCAAGGTCCCCAGGTAGAAACTCTTCTGTCCCAGAGTGTAAGGTAAAGACTTCAAGGAGTGAATACTCATGATGTAGTAGGTCAAACAACCCTTGTGTCTCTGTTCTCTGTGTTGTAGGTGTATGTGAGGCTTAATGCATTAAAGCTATAAAATTCATGTATTTTAGGTGGAAACAGCAATTAATTTTGTTGCTGGGCATTGAATGTGGAGCCTTGCACATATTAAACATGAATTTTGCCATTAAGTTATACCTTCAGCCTGAAACAAAATTTTAACATTTAGTATTTATATTGGATGGGCCAGGCAGTGTTTTGTTTTTCCTTTGTGAGTCCTTTTTCCTTTTCAAGCCATACATCTGGTCATATTACAGTGACTACAACATTTCTTGTTGTAGTCTCAATTTAATCAACAGCCTATATCACATCCTATCTCAGTGATATTAAAATCTTCAACAGTAATAACTAGCTTCGCTTGATTTATGGAATACTGGTATATTCATTAATCTTTTAAAGTTTTTAATTCTTATATTTTTGCTAGTAAATCTTAATTTTCAAGTAAAAGATATTTTTGTTTTTTTTTAGGTGTATGTGATTCATATGAGTCACTCATGCATGGCATGTGTGGAGGTCAGGGGACAACTTGTAGGACTTAGTTTCCCTTTCCACTGTGTAGGTCCAAGGGAATTGAGATCTGCTTGGCAGGCTTGGGGCACACAAGTGCTTTTACCTGCTGAGCTGTCTTGCTAGCCTGTTGGAGACCAGTCCCCACACTTATTTACCCAGGAGTTCCTGAGGAATGAGGGCTAAGAGACTTAGTTAGAAATAGAGCGGGGAGAGAAAACAGAGAAGACACAGGATAGACTCAGGAGGGCCTGGATCCTTATCCACTGGCTTAGAACTTTATTCCAAAGGTCTGTTTATATCAATGCCAAAACGTGCAAAGACCTCCCCCTCACTGGTTACAAAACACCTGTACTCAGGCCTGTGGTCCAGTCATCCTCTCTTTGCAGACCTGCTGTGTAAAGTCACTAGGAAACCTGAAAATGGGCTCCCACACTGGTCTAAATATTTCCCCCAAGGTTTATTGACTTATTATATGCATGTATGTATACCAGTGTTTATGTGAAAATAGAGCATTAGATTCCTCAGAATCTGGAATTACAGGTGTGTGGGAGTCATCTGATGTGGGTACTGGGAACTGAACAGTAGGCCATCTGGAAAAGCAGCAAGTGCCCTTAACTGCTGAGCCATCTCTCCAAGCCTGCTGGCCCAAATCCTAAATGTTGAATTTAAAAACAAACAAAAAACCCAAACAAACGAAAAAACCAATGTAGAGATATTTTCAAAGTCTTTATCTTTTTTTTGAGAGAGAGAGAGAGAGAGAGAGAGAGAGAGAGAGAGAGAGAGAGAGAGAGAATGAGTACGAGTGTTTGTGGTGTGTGTACATGATTGCCGATGCATGCAAGCCACTGCACGTTTAGAGGAGGAGGCTCTTTCCTTCCACATTGTTGAGGCAGGGTTGTAGCGATAAGGCCCGCGCTACCACCACCTGTTCACCATGTCCAAGCGAGGGGCTGTGGATCAAAAAACAGACAAAATCAGCGGGTCATTCGCCTCAGCAGAATGCCGAATGCTGTTTATTGAAGGAGGGAGGAGGTCTTAAATACAGGCTTACAGCACAATGGAAGAACCCCAGAGGGCAGAAGTTCACTACTGATATTTACAATCTTGCATCTAAGCTGTTAACACTCAATATGCAGGAAATACTCAAAATGCAGGATACACAAACAAGAAACTTACCTTAAGCATTCAGGAGGGTGGAAACTGGCAGGGAATTAGCATAGGGAGGACATCATGGTTAAGGTCAGCAAACAAGACAACAGTTACCCAAACTGGGGGCCAGGGCCCTACAGGTCCCCCCTTTTTACTAAATGAGCCTCTGACTTAGGTTGCGTGGGATGTGAGCAGGTCACCTTACCCGTCATGGAGACACCTGCCCAGGCCACACAGGTGCTCACCTTAGGTTGGTAACTACCCCCCAGGCATTACCCATCTCTGAATACTCATTATCATACAGACTCAACCATGTGAGCTGTAGAGTTAACTGCTGCCAAAGATCTCAAAGTGGCGCTGGACTTGCAATCTGTGTGTTTGATACAGAAAAGACCAACAGAAGTCCTAACCTACCCATAGCCAATAGGCTAAAGGCAATTGAGCCATTCCCTTCCTTTGAGGCTTACTGCAAATTGGAGTCTTCGTAAGATGGTATCCCAAAAGCAAATGGAACTTGAGTTTTATAAATTTTATAACTTTCAAAGCCAATTGAAATGTATATAACTATTGAGTTAAATTTATCATGCCCAATAGAATGAAAGAGTAATTAACTGTGGTAGCTACTTATGCTGCCAGGTTCTCCATTGTGCTAGCTGTAGTAACCAATATGAAATGGCAATCCCAGAAACAGTAGCAGCGGTGGCCGCCACTGCTATAACAGCAACAATGGCAGCAGCAATGTCAAATTCTCTTCTGGAGTGTGTGGGCATCCACTGGCATGGACACAACTCCAGGAACACAAACCACCAAGGCCCATATTTCTTGATCCCAGCACGACATAAGCTGGCAGCAAAAGAACAACTAAGAACCATTAAAAAAAAAAAACAACAAACAAACAAACAAAAAAACAGACAGCACACAAGGAACAGAAAGAACTAATGGTCTCATAATGCCTACATTCAGGCTTACAAATTTTAAGGTATCTTCAAAAGTGGTTAGATGAATTTCAGGAGGCCAATAAATGTTGCACAGAGCCATTCCTGAAAAGTAGGTACTACACCAGCTTGAAGAGGGTTGCAAAATGTGAAAAGGCTTAGCTGGCATGCTACTGTTAACAAATGGAGGTCAGTGACCTTCAGGGTTATCCTTGATCTCCAAGGTGTCTGGGTGACACGTTCTCAAACATACTTGAAAAAGCAGTTACCATACATTACCTTCTGGAGAATCCAACCTCATGGCTACAGTTCCTAGGCTTATGTTAATGCTTGCCAAGGCTGGCTGTATTGGGCTCTCAATCCCCATTGGCATCAGAAGGGGAGAGTTTTTCACAAAGGCCCAATAGCTCTCTGCCATGTTGGGCTTCAGCAGCAGCCACAGGGCACACACAGCGCTCAGGAACCCAAAGAGGAACCTCATTGTCCTGCAGAAAGACACAAACAGAACCCCGGGCCCACACCAACACTGGATTGGGTCCCCTCCAAGTACCAGTAGAAAGATTCTTCCATCGCATCAGAGGATGATTTGCAACAGGAG